GTCTTGTTCAGCTCCAGATCGGTGGTATTCTATATAAATTAAGCGCCTGACTTGTGATCCGATCGGGCGTGAATTATGCGGTATTGAAATAAAAGTTTTGCGTCGCAAAAAAATTCGAGAATTTCCGCGATTTGTAGACGAAGTTTACGGCAGCGAGCAGATACATTTTCAGTCGCCAAACCAGTTGAAGTTGTTTGTATCCAACAGATACTTTGGCCTACGATGATGTGCTGCACTTTTTTCGCTCGCTTTTGTCCTCTGGCTTCACTCTTTCTCGCATTTTCTGCGCAATTATTATCTTTATTTTTCGCCAGCTATTTTTGGCCAAAAGAAATGTTTTCCTTTCTTGTTGTTAGTTGAGGGGCCATTGCACCTAAAACACCGCAAAACAACAAATTTGCTTCGCCTTATCGAGCCTCCGAAGTTCGTTGAACCTCATTTTGGGCGCGGGTTTGATTAAATATCCAACCAAATGCTGCACCCCGTGGCCTGGAGACTTTGAAGAGTTGCTGCGATCCATTGGGATCGTAGGTCTCGTCTCTAATTTTCCATTTTCCCCACACCAGGTGCGGCGGTGGGGCAACTTTCCCATTCGCTTTTGACACAGTTTTCGCTTGCGCTTGGATGATTGAGGTGATTGGGTCAAGAACTGCTCGGTTTCCGCTGAACGATGTCCGCAATTGTTTTTATGGGTAATCTAATCTCAGGCGTTTTTATTATCTTAGACTAGAAGGTAAACAGAATATAATTCAGTGACGAAAAGAACCAAATCTAATTGTTATTTTAACAAATTTCATTCAAATGTATTTCATTAAGGATTGATTTTAAGAAGACTGTCTTTTTTGTTTAAAAATAAATACACTAAAAGCTAAGTTAAATATATAGCAGCGTCGTAAATAGGGGGTTAAGTGAATTTCATTCATGATTGTTTTACAATGGCTTTCCATTTTCAAAAGGTAGTTTTTTTAAAATTACAAAATATATAGATACAAGTGCCATACAAAAAGTTTAATAACTCAACGTTTTTAATTAGCTTTTTATTACACTTTCACTAATTAAATAATGAACCCGAATAAAAAGGGAATAAGATTTACCTAACTTGCTTTTTTGTTTTGATTTTTTTAGGGATAGTTTAATATGCATTCGTACTATATTTTTATTAATAAATCCCTAAAATATCGAACCATCTTACCGACCAGTAACTTTGTCTATTCTTACTGACCTGGTCCAAATGCCTTTTGTAATCTCGGCAAAGTCACAGGTCATACCCCATTAAACAATGCCAGATGCTTGGCAACAGATGCAGTTGAACTCGCATTAAGATTGTCTCAAACAAACAAAAGTGCAGGAGTCTGTTATCGGTCAGTAGCTGCAAGAATTGCTTGATTCATTGCAGTTTACTCAACAGGAATAAATAAACATGCAAATTGTATAAATACATCTGCGAATGCACAGCAAAAGATAATGAGCTTGGGAGCATATCGATTATCATTTCCATTCAAACAACGCGTGAACACCGGCTAAGGTGATTCGATATTCTAAAGAGAAACCTATAGAATGTCTGGTTATATCTGCACCTAGTAGTTGTAAGTTTGAAAGGTATGCTGCTGGGTAAAAAATGCTTAAGTAAGTGCTTAAAAAAATCTTTATTCTTTATAAAAAAAAAAATGCTTTTAAATTCCTTCTTTAGGTTTAGAATTTTTTCTCACAAAGAAACTTGTTAGAAATTCCAATTTTAATAATTAACTTTCATGCATAACTTATAGCATCTTAGGTTTGTGTTTGACATCATAAGTAGCAAAACGCGCTGTGTACAATGATTTAAGCTCTGGATAGGATAAATTTCAGTCGACACTTCCCCACCAGAAGAGACACTATCCGAGTTGAGCTTCCTTGTAGTAGACAAACTTGTTTAAATTTGCACTTTCGTCTTTTCTTGTGGGCTTTAGTCAGGGGTAGAGGGCGAAAAGAGCAAACACAGACAAAGAGTCATTGTCACCTGCTAAGTTAAAAGCAAATAAGCTGACCACATTCATGGGAAGTCAAATGAGGGATTTCGAGGAGGTGCAGTTAACGACATCGGTCTTATCAGTGGTGCGATTTAACCGGTTAACTCAACTCAACTCAGTTCAGCCCGTTAGCTGGTGGGCCTGCAAGTCCGGGCCATGTTCGTCACTCGCGCGCTCGAGTAAACAATCTTATTCACCGCAATTACGGGCCTGCCCCTCCCCCTTTTGTCTGGCCGCCGGTTGAATGCGTTTTTGCGTATCTAATAATAACATTTAACCGAGCGGGACCCTCCAACGTGTTGAGGGGCCCTCGTTTTTGAGATCGGGGTATTTGCATTTCCCGCATTTTCCTGTTTCAGTGCGTGCTAATTGAAGCAAGCCAAAGACATTTGCTCAAGGAGAATGTAAACATTTGGAAGGCAAATTTATGGCAGCAGCTGGATGCGAAGATTATGGGTTTTAGATTAAAGGAGAGGAACTCCGTGAGAAGGCGAGGTCAACAACATAAAGAACAGAAAAATCAAAATAGTAATTATAGGGATTTGTTTAAAGAGAGCCTTTCTATTCGCATTTCACAAAAGTTAGGTAGTGGTTTGTGCCAAAAAAAAATATATTTGTATTTAATGTATATTAAAATTAGAATTGTTAAGAAAAATAGCATTACAAACGTGATGTCTTTCTGATATATTTTAAAACTTTAAAACCTTATAAATAAATTTAAACACATATCAAAAGAACCAAAAAAAATAAGTTAAGATTTAAATTGGTTTTAAAGTTAATGACCGAAACAACATGTTATTATTTTGTTAATAAACACTTTATATATGCCATTCACAACAACATTCCTTTGTGGTCGAAATTCAAAACAAATTTAAATGGGAAAACGTTTATCCATTCAGTGTTTTGATTTGCCAGTATTGTGCAAATGAAATTCCCCTGCAAATAAATTGAGTCATTTCGCTGACTTTGGCTTGTAATTGGGTTAGCCGTTCAATGACTGTGAAGTGAGTAACCCTAAATTGAATATTAATGAAACGTTTCGCTTCCTCTGTTACAGAAACACATGCCGGTGGCGATTAAGTGCATCACGAAGAAGGGACAACTGAAGACGCAGAATCTGCTGGGGAAGGAGATCAAGATCCTGAAGGAGCTCACCGAACTTCACCATGAAAACGTGGTGGCTCTACTGGACTGCAAGGAGTCCCAGGATTGCGTTAGCCTGGTCATGGAGGTGAGTTTCGCCATTTAACAACATTAAAATAACCGCATAGCGAAGCGAGAAGTTCATAAATATGTAATGCTTTTATGGCTAAAACGTGTGTGAGTCAGTCCATTTGATATCGGATGGGAATTGCAAAGCAATGTGCACGTCGGCCAGTTCCACGTCATTCTCCCTCCCCAAAGTTCCCACCTCCACCTTCTACAGACCTCCTTCTCTTGACCAAATTGCTACGCCATTGATTGCGGAAGTTGCGAAACGAATTCGTATACAAAAATAAAGTGCGAATAGAATGGTAAAAGCGTTTTGCGCCGAATGGCTGCTTCTCACCTATGCACTCAATTGAAATGCTTAAATATTAACTGACAGCTCCTGGGCTAACAAACTTTAAATTGTAATAGGATTATTATAGCCAGGTAATGTGGGTAGTAAACAAATTAACAGGGGAAATATAGTTTTTAAATGTATAGCCAGACTAGTAATTTTAAGTTCAATAATTTGGAAGGCTTACTTATTTTGTTTGGTTTTCTTTATACTTTTTTGTGGCCTTTCGTTTTCCGTTTGTGTTAATACGCATTTTCTTAATTTACACCAATTCAAGAGCTCATTGGATACCTATCTGTTTAATCTCAAGTTTGTTCAACTCAATTTGGCCTACAGGTGTTTGCATGCTTTTAGCGTTCAGTGTTTATATACCATCTATTATCTTGAAATTAGGTCAAATGCTCGTGGCACGAGAATCAGCTTGCTTTGGCGAGCATTTTTACTGATAAGATTTTGGATAGTGTTGTTTTCTTATGAATACCCTTGAAATAGGGTTAGTTGAGTTGTTAAATAACATATGTATTTAATGCATAGAAATTGCAATTTAAAAGATATTCAAAAGATCAATTTTTATCAGATAAGATCAGAATAATATTTGTTAATTTTCAAATTAGCCCAGTCTTGAATTAAATTACAATTTGAATAGAGGGCTATTTTTTTGATGAGTACACATTCTATGCAACGTATATTAAGTTTTTTTTAAAACATTTAATGTTCTCTAAAAGATATTTACTAAATTGCGTACATCACATATGTTTGTAATGTCTTTCCTAGCCTAAATACTCAACGAAAAGATAGTATTTCAAGGTAGTGTTTTTAAAAAAGTTCGAACGTAGATCGAAAGCCCAATCTTTCGTGTTTGTTTAGTTTTCAGTTTGCCTACCAACGCCACATTGTTGTGGCCACACGATTGCATGTCATCGGCATAGGTGGAGCAAAATCAAGCTGATGGGGGTAAAAAGCGATAGGAAGGGAGTGTTTCGTTTCATCTGCTGTTTATTGTAGTAGTTGGTACATAGTCGCTCGCCTGACTTTGGCCCCATTTGCCTTGTTTGCTCTGTATTCTAATTTGTTTGCCACCGGGGAGACGGAGAGCAGTCCGCCATTCCCCGGAATATAATCAGTTCGTTTTTGTGTTGTTGATGAATATTTATTGGTTCTGCGGCCACGTGTTATGCCACCCCGCTTTTCCCACCATTACTGGCTACTTTGGCTCTTCTGATTTGTTTATTTATCTTGCCAATATTTTACGATGTGTTTATTCGGGGCATATTTTTGTTGTCCGAGGATAAGTCTGTGATAGGAAGAGGTTGGGATAACAATCGAAGCTACCAGGTGTTGTGTTTTAGGGAATTGCAAACGCGTTTACCAATTTATACGTTTTAACAAACTTACCCACAATAATATCTTAACTTATTCCAATATTTTACATAAAAACACATTCCTGCTTTTCGTCTATTTACAATAATTACTTTTATTGTATTTTGGCAAAAGTCTAAGGCTAAGAACTAAAGTATCTATTAATTTAATTGTGGCGAGGGAAATTTCGTTTGAAACTAAACCTAGTTAAGTGCCAGGGGCTTGTGTGGGATCCCATTAGCCGAGTTCTCATTAAAGAAAAGAACGATAGGCGACTAGGCTGCTTAACCTACTCCGACTAAAAACTATAATCTAACATCGGATTGCGGGAACTCATTTCCTGGTAGCTTTTGTGCGGGCAAACAATGTAATAGAAACTACAATTAGGTGTCACGATAGTTGAAAACCGAGTCAAAGTAGTAAACTAATTAGCCATATACATATTCACGACGATATACCTATTTATAATCTATCAAAAATGCCGACAATATGGAATTTGTTCGCAAAACTGGAGGAATATGATTCTCTTTTCTTCTTTCTTTGTTTTGGTGTTTGTTTTTGGGAAGTTTTCTTAGGCTAGCTTATTCAATGGTATCTCCTCAGTGGGATGGACCTGATCCTTTGGCTCTGGTTTGCTAGTGCGGCAGCATTTGGTTTTGATGCCGCCAATGTCCTTGCGGCAAATGAGGCCGATGACGATGCCAATGACGGCCAAAGTCATGATGCCTGAATAGAAAGATTTAACAAATTAGTAAGATATACAAAAATTAAAGTCAAATTTGCATAACTCAACCGATCACTTCATTTATCACTGTTTTATGTTAAAGGTTAAGCCTTTAATTCGATTAATAATAAAATTGAATGAAAGGTAACTTTAAGATTACGATTACAAAATATTATAGATACAGTTGTTTTACACATAGCTTTCTTTAATTTGAGTTCATTAATGCATTTTACAAATTATTAATAGGAGTTTGAGTTATTCAAATTTAAGTTTTAAGCAAAAGATGTACTTACAGATGAGCAGCGTGTTGATAGTCTCCGGGGAGATCTCCACCTGGTTGGTCTTCGACTCCCCAGGTGATTCCACACTAACGCCACTGCTGTTGGTCGCGGAACTCAGGATTGCCGCCTTAGCCAACTCTGTGCTGTTGTCCATTTTTCCGCGATTGCGAGTGGCTGTGTGGGATTAAGATGGAAAACGCCACGTTAGCAAGATCAGACATAATATAATGGGTTATTGCTTAAAGATCTCACCAGTTCTGGGCGGTGCAGGCGTGGTTGTAGCTGGCTTTGGAGTAGTAGTGGCCACGATGGGAAGACCGGAAATCTTCTTTATCGGCGTCTCCGTGGGAAAAATCAGACTCTCGTTGAAGGAGGTGCCCAGCACAAATTCATAGCAACTGATGTCGAAGTGGAGGAAACTTATGGTGTCAATTGAGGGCAACAGATTACACAGCTCCTCGATATTCTTCTGCTCCAGCTCTGGCAGCTTTAGTTTAATTATTTTTGTTAGCGGCGTAAAAGCTTTCGTATTGATTTGCTGTTGAATAGAAAAAGCGTGAGCGGGACAACTACATATGTGGCATCGCAAACACAGCTGTTTTGGAGCTGCGCCAACTATCGATAAAACGATAGTGCTCCGATAACGATAGTGTTATCGCACTTTTGGCGCTCGATTCTCACCTGTTTGAAATCGTTCTTGCTCAAGCGGAGTATTTGCAGGGCACTCATGTTCTCGAACGTCTGCTCCGGCAATTCCGTCCAACTGCAATTGCTGCAACTGAACTCCACCAAATCGGGCAGGTTCAAAAAGGATCCATCGAGGCGTTGGGTTATGGAATTATTGCTCAAATCGAGTAGGGTTAGTTCTTTGGCGGCCGAAAATGTGTTGGGATCGATTTTGGTTAGTCGGTTGTTGGTCAACCGCAGGCGTTGCAAACGTTCCGAGCCTTGGAAGACCTAAAATTGGGAAATCAATTATTAATATAGGGTTATTGAAAACTTTCATGGTTGGGTTTTCTTTAAAACTCACCTCCTTATCTATGTGACTGATTAAGTTGTGATTCAGATTAATTTCCACCGCTCGGGAAAGATTGGCGAAATCCTCTGGCCTCAGTTCGGCAATTACATTGTGGCTCAGATCGATGATGGCCGCCGTTTTGGGCAAGTCCAGGGGCACATGGGTTAGATGGGCATTCGCACACTGAACGTATTTAAAGTCCTCCATGCAAAGACAGTTGCGCGGGCAGCTGGGCTCCAGGACATGGTTGCTGCGTCGTGGTATACCTGTAAAATAATTCACTCTTACTCTTCTGGTCTTATTTTCACATAATTTAACTCACTAAATATTGGTCGAAATGTGGTGGTGGTCGATGTGGAGGATGATTGTGGCATCAGTCTATTTTCTGCTGTCTCCGGCGCTTCATCGCCTTTCGTTATCTCGCTGTAATCATCGTCACTATAATCATAGTCCTCGCCGGAACTGGGCGATCGTTTTGCCTCCTCACTGCCCGCTGGAGCGGCATTTGTGTGGCTAATGCTGGAAAATTGCATTTTAAATTTATACTTATTAGGGACCAGTGTAAACAAGCAATATCTTATTACTCTCAGTTCTAAAGTACTTTTAAATCATTAAATTTCAAAACAATTCTCATCATTTATTGCTTAGCGGCAATTATATTCCAACTGAATTCGCAATTCAATTTAAGCAATTACTTGACGAATTTGTAATGTGGTTTTACCAAAAACCCAAAATTGTCAATATTTGGCTTTAGATTGCCGGTTCTAAGTAGAGTGTGCTTACATCATTCACGTCTTGACGGCGAACACACCTCGCTAATTTGTCCTGAAAACGCTCTTGACCTATTTTGCCATAGCCACGCCATAGTCATACACAGAAACGTTCGTTTTCCCCACTATCATTATGCGCTTTTGTTTATGTTTGCTCCACGAAAGAGCATGAATGAATATACCGACATATGTGAGAAAACATTTTTCTATACAGCAGTGGTCAAAATAATAACTTATACATTTATGCAAATTAATTTTGAGAAGCTAACTGTCTAATATGTAATAGTTTTACTTTTATTTTTGGTGTTGTTTGATGCTGAAACAAATACAGATTTTTTTTTTATAATTTGTATACAAATAAAAAAAAGAAATATAAATGAATAACTTTATTCTTTTAAACGGTCTAACATTTCTGAAACGTACTGTAGATACTTTAGTAAAAAAGAAACAGCCGAAACCCGTTTACTTCATGGCAAAAGAGACAACTTGACCGGTTTTTTTTCGCGATTTCGTTTACTCTCACTTTTATATGTTTTGTTTTTTTTGCTGTGATTTGTAACCCCTCTTTCCTTATTCGACTTGGCTCGCCTGATTCTAAATCGTTCGTTATCCTGCTTTATACGACTTCGGTTCTGGCAAATGTATGAAAAGAGGTGGGATTCGGGTGGTAGAGTAGTTCAAGTGTGTCTTAAAACTGCCATTTGGAATTCTCTTCAATTGCGTGACTTTTGAGTAAAGTTTCAATGATACTCGTCAGGTCATAAAAGTGCTATTTTTGACAGGGTAAACGACTTTATAGAACCGAAGATATAGTTGTTCACGAGTTTGGTTCCGCAAAGTGCTGATAAGAAATGCATTTATTGATAGATTCCTACTGGCTAATAAAGATATAAAAATCGAACGTAACCGAAATGACTTCAAGCTTAAGCTCATTAAAGCTAATGTCTATTACGAAAGATTTCTAAACTGTAACTAAGCGTGACGACCTAGTCAACGCAATTCCCTTGACTACTTGAAGTCAAATGACTAAAATTGGAAGCGGCGCACTCAAAAGCACTCTACTTTGACATTTAACTTGAAGTGGCTGAAAGAGCCTAAAAGGTCTAAAAATCAATAGGAAAAAGTTGTTAAATACACAAGATAAATATTCGTGATTTACTCAAACAATTCTGAAATCAAATATATTATTTTGTATCACATTTAATTATGCTCTATGTTAATTGGCAAATATAACGGATTATTGAGCTCAATTTAAATTAAATTTTTATATCTTAATATAACGGTAAAAAAGTTATATTTTTCTTCGGTGTAAAAGACCAAAATGGGAAATGGCTAAAACAAATCTGAGTCATAAATGGGTTTAACTATAAAACAGAAAAACCAAGACAGTTGTAAATTTCAGCTCTTTGAATGGTTCGATATTGGTAGAGAAATTCGAACCGGTGACCAAACAAATTTGATAAGGAAAAACAGTATAAATTTTCGGGCAACCGGGGATTGTTATTATTTTTATCTGATTGTGTGGTACGATAACGTAGAGTGTAAATTTATGCAACCTATATATAATAAGCGGCAATTAAGAGCTGTTGCCGTGGACTATCAGTAAAAAAAAGTTGCTATTTTTTTTATAACCCCATGCGTGAGTATTTCATTCGGCATTGATATCTCAGTGGTGAGCGGGTCAAAGTCCCGTTATTCAGGTTCACCTGTCGTTATTTCGATTTGAGTGAATTAATCATTACGAATGTTGCTCAACGGAAACTTTGCCCCTTGTCTTTATTCTTTCGTTTTTATATAAATAAATGTATTACTTTTCCGAGCCCAATAAGAATTTCAAATTGTTTGTTTAAAACACATCGTAACCGGTAAATATTTATTGGATTTTGATTTTTACCTTACGCTTAGCAAAAATATTAAGAGTAATCCAAACTTGTAATACACGTGCATTATTATTTATTGTTTGTTTATTGTTATTTGTTTAGTTTTTGTTTTCACTGCGTGTTCAGGGTTGTTAATATTTGTGTTTATCTATGGGATTTAATTTCATTTTCTTCGTATTTGCCAAATTTGATGTGAATATTTTGAAGCTGAAAATAGATTCGATTAATTTTTCCGAGGTTTTTGTTTGCTTTGCTTTGCCACTTTACACTTTTAATGTTCTTCTGTTTTGCTTTTGAAATTATATTTTCACGAGCTGTTTCTATTGGCATTAGCCGGTTTACTTTTGACAAAAATGTAATAATAATAATAATTTATTGTGAAACCTTCACTCCGCTCGCACAAACTTTTCCACTCGCTGTCGTCTCTCAACTGAGCAAAAAATAATTTACCAACAAATGCGATGAAAAGAACAAACAGGTGTGTGTGTGGGTCTAAGAGAGTGGAATGCCAAAACATTATCTCTCTCTCCCCTCTATCTCTCTTTTTTAATCTCTTCCATGTTTTGTTTAATGTTTAGCCGTTATTGCTAATCTTATCAGTTCTCGTTTTTAATTTCTATCTGCCTCCCTCTCTCTCGATTGTGGTTTTCGTTTTGATTTTAACACTACATTGATTGACATAATTTATTGTATTATTAATGTAAATAAATTGTGAAATTAAATGTACGTTAATGTTCAAAAATTAACAATGTAGTTAAATAGAATTTAGAGTAATAATAATTAAGAATAGAAATCAATTTCACAGTCTTAATCAAAAGTTAGATAGTTGGTAAATAACAAACAAAATATTTATAAAAAACCAAATCAGTATTTCACTTGTAATAAATATATAGGTATTTACTAAATACAAAAAAAAATTTAAAAATAATATTACATCACATCGTATTGATTATTAAAGAGAGGCTATGCTTAATTAGTAAACATTCCATCATACATTGGACAATGCTTGTTTAATCAAATTTTTTAAACAAAGTAATTCAAAGGATTAAGAGAAAAATAAGTCCATTAATTATATATCGTATTGAATTATATATTTGCTAACTCATCTTTTAATTATAAAATTAATGCCACACTTGTCAGATTCGAATTAATGGCGATCACTGTGAACTTTACTTTTGATATAACAGATTGTGTCTATTCGCAATTTATTAACATACATAGTTTACTGGAAAAGTGAAACACCAAATGTCCGAGCTGAATCATTCCGATTAAATTAGACGTGATTTGAGTGATAAGTTTGTTTGAATATTTGAATGAAAACCCCTTTATTCACCGAGTGCTAAGTTAAACTCTTGTTTTAATTCCGTTTCATGCTTCTTTGTGTTGGGATTACTGTGTGAACAACTTATAGAAGCTTTGTTTTTATCGCCTAGAAATATGTTGACCTTTAGTCCATTGCGTTTACTTCAAATGACTCGCGATGTTTTATATTTTTATTTGTGGTAAATTGGGTAATACACTTTGGAGTTTTATTTTAATTGGTAATTTCGCTTTGCAATTTCACTACCAAATTTTGATAACTTTGTTTCTGGAAAGTCTGTTATTTCAATAGAGCTGCGTGCAGCGCGATGCCGTGCGATACGTGCGAGTGTCGTTTTGAAAATGAGCTTCGAAGGAAACCGCAGAAGCGGCGAGCTCAAAAATGCGAGAGATACAATCGAGGCCTTAAGAGCGTATTCTCTTGTCTTTTAAAAGCTCTCTTAATTATTATTTCTTGAAAAAAAGAAACACTGAACTCATTATTTCCTAATTACGCAAGTGCATTTTCCAATAAATCGCTGACTCATGCGCACTTGTTGCCGGGAAAAAAATATAATTTCAAAATTCGTCTGGTGTTGCTTTTATTTAAAATTAAAAAAAAAAAACCGTCCGCATAGGGAGTGTTTCCCCATTTTGTTTAAACTTTTACTTTTATATTAATATATTGCAATTGCCTGATGTCACTCTACATGTCAATGACTTTTTTAATGTTCTTTTCTCTTCGCCTCTCTTCTGGGTTTTTGTGTTTTCACAAAAAGCGAGTGAAGTGAAATCTTTTGTCATTTCAATTTGGCTGTTTAATTGCCTAATGTTTGTGTTGTTGCTGCCATTGCTGGCTTTGTTTGCTCATTAAATTGTAAGTGGTCCATATATTTTCTCATGGAAAACAAAAAATCCATAAAAATGCTCGGCACACATATTGCTGTGTGGATTTTGGCTGTGTGTACGTGTGCAATACTATAGACATGTCTTTGATTGGCGGCCTCAAGGTCAAAAAATCGCAAATCCTTTTTGGCAACACGCTCAGTCCAATATGACGGAATTTTGGAGAGACAGGGGTTCTCTTCATTTACATTTTGCCGAGGGTTGCTTATACAATTTATTGTTTAAAGCTGTGTTGCACTGGCATAAATCAATTTTAAGGTCTTAAAGCTTTCTTAAAAAATGAGAAAAAATTCTATATTAATTTGGATAAATAGTAAAAAAGTGCCCAAGGGTATTACCCCCTTAAATTGCTGAATCTCTTTCAGCAAATTTTTTCCTATTTCTTTATTATCACTGCCGACGAAATAAACCGGAACAGAACTTTTGTTAGATAAACGACAAAAGAAAAAGCAGCTGGCTGCTGATCCATAAACATATTTCCCTAATTCCAGTTTTTGATTTAGAAAATTGCCATAAATCATATTCGCTTTGACCTTGCCGTTTTCTATGATTGTCTGCGGTTTTGACAAAAGCAGGGCAGCTGGAAGGCGAAATACCGACGATGGAAATGCCGACTGAATCTCGGGACTCTTGCATTTTCGCACTGATTGGACTTAATTCATTTGCATGGGTCGCATTTTACTATGAGGTCTTATTGGGGTCTTTGGGGTCCGAGAAGATTTATTTGCGCACTGAACTCTTGACTGGGGTTTGGGGAGGAAGCTCTCTTAATTGAATTTTCCACTTAGCTCTTCTCACTCTTTTTTCTTGTGTGACTTTCTCTTTACAGTACTGTAATGGTGGCGACTTGGCGGACTATCTAAGTGTTAAGGGGACGCTGAGCGAGGATACCGTTAGACTTTTCCTCGTGCAACTAGGTAAGATCGGAATATCTAGATATTTAACCCCAACTAACTAACCATAACTAACCGGAAAACAATCTTTACTCCAATTTCCAATCATTTAATTTATAATCATTAAAAATGCATATACATTTTAAGATCCTCAGAACTTAACTTAATTCTGTTTTCCTTTAATTGCAGCTGGTGCTATGAAGGCACTTTATACCAAAGGAATTGTGCATCGTGATCTCAAGCCACAAAACATTTTGCTATCGCACAATTATGGCAAGACATTGCCAGCTCCATCGAAAATAACCCTCAAAATTGGTAAGTTAAAGTTTGGTTTTAGGTATAATGAAGTCTATAAAGCTAAAACCTATACAAACTTACTAAGTTTTCTTTAATAAAGTGGTTATTGCTTAGTTATAGACCATAAAGTACTTTCTTTACCTAATGTGTCTTAACCTGTTTTTTATATTTTAGCCGATTTCGGGTTTGCTCGTTTTCTGAACGAGGGCGCCATGGCAGCCACTCTGTGCGGATCTCCCATGTATATGGTAAGTAAACCATACATAAAACCAGAAGAAATCTAAGTTGAATATACATTTTATGTTCTTATAGGCTCCCGAAGTGATCATGTCGCTGCAGTACGACTCCAAGGCGGATCTCTGGTCGCTGGGAACGATTGTCTACCAGTGTTTGACGGGCAAGGCGCCATTCTATGCACAAACGCCCAACGAACTGAAGTTCTACTACGAGCAAAATGCCAATCTGGCGCCAAAGTAAGATATCTTTGAATATATTCACAACCGGAAGAGAATATTAACCCGATTTCTTTGAAGAATTCCAAGTGGCGTGTCGCCGGATCTGAGGGATCTGCTGCTGTGCCTGTTGCGCCGCAACGCCAAGGACCGCATCTCGTACGAGAGCTTCTTTGTGCACCGCTTCCTTCAGGGCAAGAAGGCGGCCGCGTCGCCAGGTGAGCCAAGCCAAGCAGCCAACCTGCGGCGGCGAGTCTCTAAGAGTGCTGTTCTTGCAGTTGACATGCCACCGCTGGGCGGAACGCCGCCTGCCAAGGCCAAGAGCCCCTTGCAGCAGCAGCTGGAGCAGGAACTGCAGCTGGTCAAGCTGGCCGAGCAGCAGCAGAAGGAGCGCGAGGAGCAGGAGGCCCAGGAGGAAGAGAATTCGGGTAGGTGTCCTTGCAGGTCTTCCAAATCGGGGGTTGCACATTGTGATTACTTGTATTTATCTTTACCAAGTATGTAAATAAGCCTTTAAAAGAGGGTTTCTTTAAGTATTAACACCTCTTAACAAAACTTCACCTAAATGGAGGTGATAATTGTTGAACCAAATACAGAAGTTAGCACTCTGCTTTACTTAACAACTTTTTAATGGCTTTAAAACAAGCTTAAACGGTTTAATTAAAAGTAAAACTATGACAAATAAAGCATTTCATGATAAAAATGGGAAATATTAATATTTATTAATGATTATTTGTACTTTTCCTTTTAATATTCTTATCACTTAAATTTCTTTTAACTTTTTTCAACATTTTAGACATATAAATTCAAAAATATTATTATTTATTAATGAATATTTTGGCACTTAATGAATAATAACACTTTTAATAAAGTTAAAAAGTTCCTTTTAGATTTATTAAATTATTTTAAATTATTTTCTCACTTTTCTTTAGTTTCCGTGGTGGCCAATCCGGCCATTTGTGCCACCATCACCAACGTGGGTGTGCTGTGCGACAGCGAGAACAACAGCGGGTCGTGCAGCTCCCACGAGGACTCCGATGACTTTGTCCTGGTCCCCAAGAACCTTCCCGAGGATCAGCGCCAGGGCTTGGCCCAGGCCCAGGCGCAACCAGCTTCCGTTGGCCAGCAGCGTCAGCAGCCGCAACAGAATCAATCCAGTCCGCCACGGCCCAGCAGTCTGCCCATTTCGGAGCCGAAGCCAGTACCGGCTCCAGCCCGTCGCCAGGTGGCCAGCAATGCGGCCGGCTCTCCGGCCAGGCAGGGCTCCGGTCCGCTGACGGTGGCCACTCTGGGCGGCCAGCAGATACCCCGGTCGCAGCCCATTAGCGTGAAGCAGCCGCGGCCGGATCAGCGCAAGAGCAGTGTGAGCAGTGACATCAACTCGATCTCGCCGCCGGCGGTGCAGTTTGCCATTGGAACGCCGCCCACGCGGATGCGTTCCGCCTCGGGCGGATCGCTGTCGGAGACACCGCCGCCGCATGCTCCGAGCACCTGGCAGGGGTCGCCGGGCCACTCGCAATCGCCGTTGCGCCGCAGTGGCAACAGCTCCCCGGTGCTGCCGTCCGCAGCGCTCACCAAGCTGCCCACCCTGGGCAGTCCCACGATGCTGGTGGCTCCGGGCTCCCTGGGATCGATTGGCTCGGCGGGCAGCGGATCGGAGAACAACAACCAGCACCACATGCTCGGTCCGCGAGCTTTCACGCTGCCCGAACTGGGGGCCACCGGTGGGCTGCACAGTCTGCTGGACACCGGAGCCGGCGGTGGTGGCGAACATCATGCATTCCAGGCCCCAGAGCTCTCGGAGGAGACGCTGATGGACCGCGAGCACAACGAGACGCTCTCCAAGCTGAACTTTGTGCTGGCCCTCACCGACTGCATCCAGGAGGTGGCCGACTCGCGGTGCGCCCCGCTCTCCACGCTGATGGTGGCCGGCAGTCAGTCGGCGGCAGCAGCAGCAGCTGCGGCGGCGGATGCCCAGCAAATACCGCCGCACGCCCCGGAGCACTGCAAGCGGGCGGAGCGCCTGGTGCTGCTCGTCCGCGGACTGCAGCTCCTCTCGTCCGGCATGAATCTGGCCTCCCAGCAGCTGCGCAATGGCCAACTGAAGCCGTCGTCCAACGTGAAGAATGGTAAGTTGAAGTCTTTTTCATCCATAGCTTGATCTTCTATAATGTTTGTTGGTTTCGCTTAGCTTTGCTCACCATGAACGCCAAATACCGGAGCATGCTGTTCGAATCGAAGCGACTCAATGGCAGCGGTCTGTTGCAGAAGGCGAATGCATTTAATATTACGGCGGACAAGATTCTGTACGACTATGCGCTGGATATGGTAAGGAAAACGTTGCTAAAGCTATGTAACAGACTGTACTTGAGTAATGGAATTATTCAGTTTATATAAAATAATATAATATAAAACCCTTAATTAATGCCTGATTTTCTATAAAATTGTAGTGTCAAGCGGCTGCTTTGGATGAGCTATTAAAGAACACCAAGAATTGCTTTGAGCGTTACAACACCGCTCATATTCTGCTGCACTCGTTGGTGCAAAAGTGCAATCATCCGCAGGACAAAATGCTGCTGAACAAATGTAAGTCGCTGCAACTGAACATAATTTAATAGATAACTAAATAATAAATATTTAAAACAGATCGCGATGCCGTGGAGAAGCGTTTGAGCATATTGCAGCAGCATGGCTACATATACGTGACCGATGAGAATGCCTAGGTATTCGGGGCAGAAAGAGCTTTATTCCAACCATGAAACACCGGCAATATTTCAACATCAACAACATTTCCTTAAGTTATTCACCGTTTTCGTTGGGAGTGCAAACATGTGATTGAAACAAAAACTACACTATCCATACATAGACATACCGACAAATAATTTAAACACCATCCACAAATCATTTCTGGCGTTCTCAGACCCTCGAAAAGCTGTCCAATGTAAATAGTTTGAGCTATGCAGATGTATGTAGTTTTTGTTTTTCTATATAATTTTCAGTCCGCGCGCGGCAACCATAATTGTTAAAGCTTATATCGAGTGCAGATGCAACATGAATAAGGGCAGATAAGAGTCCATATAGTCGTAAGATAACCATAATATAACACATATATGTTTACATATATACAACACGAAAGCTAACCAAGCAAACCACATTACATAACGTAAAGGGCAATATGCAAGCCAAACTCAGTTTAATTCTATTTTTAAAGAAAGGAGCGGCAGAACCCAAATTCATATATCATGTGCTAGAATTTTACCCGTAGTTGTAATGCCTATTTTCTTATTTAACAATCTTATATTCCCCTATTATTATATTACAAACATACCATACAATATTTATGGCTGCACTACACAAACATGTTTACAATGTGCTATGTTCATAGTTTTTAGTTAGGTCTTTTCTAAAACAACTTTAAAGAGGTATTTAATTTTATGACAAGAAGTTTATATATTTTAAAGAAACTTTTTAAGTTTTTCTACAACCGAAGCCCACAAAACTTTCGAAAAAAATCTATATATGTATATGGTATACAAAAAAGAGAGAAACACATAAAAGAGTGTATAAAAAGGAAAATAAAATATCGATTTGAACTAATAAAAAAGTACTAAAGAAAATCGTAGTAAATTGTCTTTTAGTTTTTGTGGTTTAAAATAGTTATGTTTTCACTCCTTGCTTTTATCCTTAAAGGTAAACTTTAGATCTTTATTTAGGCTTGTGTTAAAATGTAAAAAAATGTTCAACGTTTAATTTAGACATGATGTAAACTATCCGTGGCGCATGCAGCTGATGTTCAAGGGACTTTGGTTATAATGCTGATTGGTCCGATTTATATTCACCCCGACCGCCTTCCCATGACCACTGTAGGGGGAGTTAAACTGGGGCTGAGCAGTTGGACTATATCCCGGCATAGTTGAAACCGCCGGCATGGAGCAGTTGTATATGCCAGGCGGAGGAGGCAATCTACAACTTCCTGGATTATTCAACAGATTGTTAAAATCCACAGCCGTTCCTGCAGGATATCGCCTACTGCTACTTCCATTCAGTTTGTCCGGCTTTTCCTTCTGCTTCGGTTTCGGAGGAACTTTCTCCAGCTGAGAAGGGGAGCTGCCGCTGCAACAGCGACCGCACGGACTGCAGCAGTGATTGCAGCAATTATGACACCCATTGCAGCAGTTCGCGCAGTAGTAATAGTATCCGTTGCAGGGACTATAGTGCCAGGTATAAGGACATGAGTTCCAGCAGGCGGTGTTTCCGGAATTCGCGGGACAAGGGGGCGCTGCCGTGGATCTGTTTACTCTATGGAAGAAATTCAATGGATAAATAGGTAAGTGTATATTGTATTCGTTGAAAAGTTTGTAAAAGGTAAATGGAAGATAGCCCAGTCAATCTAGATATTTCCCTATGAACGTCGATATTCCTGAAACTATAAAAGCCAGAGAATGACAATTTAGCATGCAGAATGTGTTAAGTTATCAACAGTTATTCTGCCAACAATTATCGACTCATAAAATATTTTCCGAATCGAACCAATATTTTAGAAAATATTTGCATAAGTGTACATTTTGGACATTTAAAAATTGGAGTTGCAATTTGGCAGATGGCTCAACCTTGAACCCATTTTTTTGAAATTGATAAACTAAGTTTTCCTTCTTGTTTTAATTTCAAAGATTCCTTATTTTCTAAGACTACTTACTCAGGTAAGTTGGCAGAGCAGCTGCAGCTGCGCATTTCCGGTTTTGGCGAAGGTGCAGGACATTGACCTTTGCAACCGCACGGACAGCCAGAATCTGCAGCTTGGGGCGTTTCGATATCCACGGAAGTTGTCGTTGGAGGTGTTTCACTATCGACTACCTCGTTGGAGTTCTGCGCCTTAGAACTCGGCAGGCTCATCTTGGACTTGCCTCCCAAATTAATTGATCCATGCGTTTTCCTGTTATTTTTAGCAGCCGGCTTTCCCTGCTTTTTGGACTTTCCCTTAGGCATCAGGAGATGGCACCACTTCTGCAGATCACACGGAGGACAGGAGTCGGTGACACTGCAATAGATACGGAAAACATTACCGCATATTTAATTATATAGTGTTGGAGGAAAGAAAGAATGATGTGTGTGGAGTGGTGAAATGCTTATGAGTTTGATTCTGCCTCAATAGAGCTGACATTAAACTCACCGGTTAAGGAGCTTCGAGCATTCCCTAGAGTCTTTCATCTTCTCCGGAGGCGGACATTCCCCTTCTTCAGCTACATAATAGGGATAATATTGATTGTTAGGATCGAACCGCGTGCAGTAGCATTTCACTGGTTGATCAGCAGGCGATCCTGCCGTTGATTTTTTACTTGATATCCCTTCAGATTTTTTACTCGTTTCAGGCCTTTTCTTCGATACGTTTCGTGCTCCAACAGAATGCGATCTTTCATTATTTTGGCGTGTCTGACCGTAAGAGGAATCCAGAACAAAGGTCGCATTCAAGGGACAATCGGCGATATTATAAGGAAAGTACTGATTGGATGGATCAAAACCCATGCCCACACTCTGTTGAATATAGGGTACATGCGATTCGGGTTGTTTAGAGTGGTTTGAGGGTGCCCCCATTGAAGGATTTGGTTTTCTTGAGTCTGGAGACCTTCTATCACTTCGACCCACAGATGGCTTAGATTTGGGAAGTGTTCTAGGATCAGGATTTCTCTCGCCAACGTTATTTGAAAATTGCCGATTGTTATGTTCAATTCCCAGCTCATTGAAAACTGTAGTTCTTCTGAACTCGGATGGCTTATCCAAACGACCTCCTCTCGACTCATTCCGCTGTCTTGGGGACTTTGACCTGGTAACATCTTGATGCACTTCAACTGAAGGTGACATAGTTTGAGGAACTTGCCTTGATTCTGGAGAAAGAACTCCCACATTATAGGAATAATTCTGATTGTAAGGTGCAAAGCTGGTTGGTTGTCTTTGCGCTGGAGGTCCCATTGACTTGCTCCTGTTACCAACTTGAGGAACTTGACTCGCATGTGGATTACTTTGGAATTCATGCATTGGAGCTACTGGTTGCTGTGCAACATTGCATGGATAATACTGACTGTTTGGCCCAAAACCCATGCCCAAACCCTGGCAGAGTTGGTTATAAGACGGGCATTGTTGCCCTCCGGAATTTGGCTGATTTTCGCACTGCATAATTTCACCAGTACAGGGATTGAATCCAGATACATGTTTAGTGGGCAAACCGGCCGCCGGAGGTCCCCTTGGATTTCGAAAATCACCCTGACCTGCTACAGATGGCTGAGCCACGGGTAAAACCACCGGTCCAGGGATTCCGAAGTTACCATATTGAGTGGGTGGGGGCATTCCAAATATCATGGGGTTTCCACTCGGTCCGTAGGTGCCATAGCATGGGATAATAGTAGGTTGTCCCGGCTGAAAACCAAAACCTGCTCCTGAAGCTTCGTTAAAACCGGGTCCTAAAGCTCCAAACCCTGTGTTACCATCCTGCCGGAACCCTTCATCACATTGCTGCTCATCGACATCCTTTTCCTTTTCAACCATTCGACATGGATTATCACACTTTTGAGTACATTTATCCGCACACGGATCTTTACATATATCGTCACATGCTGTGCAACTCTTTGAGCGCTTTTTCTTCTTAATTGGCTTTGGCTGCTTTTGAAGAAAACTAGGTGGAATCATATCCGAGAACTTTTGGAACTCCCCAGGAAACACAACGCGGCAATTACGCGAATCAATGGAACAAGATCGCGGACGGCAATTCTGTCTAGGAAAGCAATAACATCTGTTGATGGAAGTAAAGTAGGTAAATTATAGATAATAACCCTTTTAATAAGCTTACCCGCCATGGCAGCTGTTGCACCTCCTTAAAACTCGACATGGATCACACATTTTGAACGTAAAAGTGTGGCCTAAAACTCCTCCTGTTTAACGTTCCACCTTCAATCATGGCCAATTACGAGGAATTCACAAAAAAAACATTAATAATCAAAACTTGTAAAAAAGTAGTCTAAATTATTTGTTGATGTCTTAAACTAAGACTATTTTGATTAAGTTGCAAAGTAAAAATTTAATTTCCACTATTAAAAGATCACTAATCCGAAGGGTAAATAACCCACTATTAAATATATATAAATTAGGAATAGGCCAAAAGCCATGAAGAAACTTTAAAAAGGAGTTAAAGTTGAGAAATATATTTTCTTGTATACATTAAGTATAATACTTATACATGCCTTGTTTTAAACATTGACAAAATTGACAATTCAAAATTTAATGTCATGCCGGAAGGCAAGTTTAAACGGAAGCATTGTATAATTGATTGAACACTCGAACTGCTTTAAAACTGCAAAAATGCTCAATGGCGGGGTCCGAACACAAAGGGCCAGTCCCTATAGGCGAAATGTAAGTCCAGCGAGGAGGACAACCAACCTGGGGACTGATTTGTCACCTGAGCCGACCAATAACCGCATCGAACAGCAACTGTTGCGAGCCCTGGTCCAAAGTCTACCCACTGGTGCGGAAACCAAGAGATCCCTATCCTCCTGCCCACCCACATATCGTCGTGGCAGGCAAACCAGCAGCTGCCGATCCATGGGTACTCCGGAACTATTGACAACGAAGATCAAGACCAGGCCACCGGTTAGATTGCAGGCGGGAATGCCGGTTACACAAGTTTTGGCAAGTGTTCCACCAAGTTCAAAGACCATTGGCTTGAGTAAAAATGCACAGCAGTCTATGGAGGCATCGGTGAAGCGTAGAGCTGAATCTCCAACAGCAAGGGCCAAGGCCAGAAATGAAGAGTTCGAGAAGACACCAGAGATGTTAGGTGGAGTGGCTACTGCCAAAGCCCGAGAAGAAGAGTTTGAAAAGATACCATCCAAGACATCAAAGATATCTGGGGCATCACAAGACGAAAGCAGGGTGAATTCAAAACCGGAAACCCAGGAGAACTCAAGACCGGAAACCCAGGAGAATTCACAGCCGGAAACCCAGGAGAACTCACAGCCGGAAACCCAGGAGAACTCAATACCGGAAACCCAGGAGAATTCCAAACCGGAAACCGAAAAGAATTCTAAGGAGAATAGTCAGGATACTTTAAACAAAAGTTTTCCTGAGAGTGTAGAGGCAAGTAAACCTGAAGAGCCAAAGAAAGCAAAGCCCGTCGAGCAAGTTGAGGTCACCAAACAGCCAGCCAAGGAACAAAAAATACAGAAACCAACGGAGGTTGCCAGCTCTAAGAAATATCCCTGCTTTCGAGGGGAGTATCCCACACGACATCGACCTGTTTCGTGTCAGTGGTTCCAGGCCGCAGTTCCCAATTGCGGCAATATCGTGACCATCTGCGATGAGGAGCAGCAGGTTATGGGCGAGGCGGAATTTGTCACCGCCTGCGAGGTGACCGAGGCTCACTTCCTCAGCATCGATTGTCCAAATGATAATATGAACAATGCGGTCTCAAAGTGTAACCAATCTTATGGTTATTCGCAGCAGCGGCAAAATGGAAATTGTTTTGGATCGCCATTTAGGCAGCAACAATCGCACCATCAACTTTGCTTTCAGCAGCAACCATGCTCGCAGCAGCAACCTTGCTTTCAGCAGCAACAATCCCTGCAACAGCAACCATACTCACAACAGCAACAATGCTTTCAGCAGCAACAACCTTGCTTCCAGCAGCAACAACCTTGCTTCCAGCAGCAACAACCTTGCTTCCAGCAGCAACAACCTTGCTTCCAGCAGCAGCAACCTTGCTTCCAGCAGCAGCAACCTTGCTTCCAGCAACAACAACCTTGCTTCCAGCAACAACCTTGCTTGCAACAAAAACCATCTTGCTTTCAGCAGCAACAGAGAAATTTTGTGCGAAATACACCCAGTTCCAATGGGCAAGGAAGCCCAAGAAGAAATTTCAAGCATGAGGAAATGAATCAGCCTAGCAACTTGCCTGTTTACAATCAACAACAGTCAATGGAACAACCAATTCTTCAGCCACAGCAACAACCAGAACAACAGCAGATGCAACAACCAGAACAACAGCAGATGCAACCACAACAACAGCAACAGCCAGGGGAACAGCAACCGATTGAGGAGAATTTCCTGACCGAAATGCTGGCCGAGGAGCTCAAGAAGCAGATGCTGGAGGCACAGGCCCAGATTGCCCAGGTGCAACTCCAGCTGAACAGTGCCTGTGGGGCCACCAGAGTGCGGCAGATGCAAGTGCTGACCCAGAATGGCGCAGAGATTCCTGGTTGGACCACTGAGAATCAGTTCGTAGGTCCCTTAGATGATGCACTGAACGAGGGATATGCTTTACCCGAGGAAGTTAAGGAAAACGGTGAAGAGGATTACCCGCGGTTTTCCACGCAGTCAGAGCCTAAATATCCAACAGGGATTCCCCATCCCTTGCCATTGGACCCTCAGACCAGATCCCAGGCGGAACCAATGCCGTTTGGCCTATATCCAGTGCCCCTAACGATGCCAAATCAAAATACTTATATTCAGCCAGAGTTTCAGCAATTTCCTGCCCAACTGCAACAGCCACCGACTTTTCTGCCTCAAGAAATGAGTCCTTGTCAGCAAAGTCAACAAATGGGTCCCGGTCAGCAGAACCAACTAATATCTCCTTGTCAGCAGCACTATCAAGTACCTCCTTGTCAGCAGATTCCACAAATGCCTCCTTGTCAGCAGCAGTGTAGGAAACCTCCTTTTCCGCCACAAAAGCCGCCTCCTTGTCAGCAGAAGCCACAAAGATTATTCCACCAGCAACAGCAACAACAGCAGCAGCAACCTGCGCGATCTAGTCAATCAACCCAACTGAATAAGTGTCCTTTTGCCCCACAATTTTGTCCCAGTTGTTGTTGCCAGCGATATGCCCAAATGCGATTCATGATGCCGCGATGTTGGCCACGCTAACAATTTGAGCCCTCTAAAATTTGTAGTGTAACTTACCTTGAGCAGACCAAATTATTGTCTTTTCAAGGTCAGATATCCTACAAACAGAGGTCTCATCAAAAATTTAATTGTGCAATTCTTCCGTTTAAAATTGAGGAAAAAAGAAGTCAATGACGAATAAAGTTCCGATTTTAAAGCTTACAACTTGAGTTTTTTGTCACTTATTCGATCTTATATATTTTAAATTCCAAATTTTTTCAACTTTCAGGGTTTAGAACGAGAAGCTAAGCTGCATGCCCCATTTCATTCAAATTACAGATTTTTGTATTAAAGATATAGTCGGAAGAGAAGCCATCTCTTCGGCAGTTATTTTTACTTAAAAATTTGTAATTTAAATCAAGTGTCCGGCGATTTGCAGAAAAACCACTTCTCATGTTGTCGGCAGAAAATGCATAAATCGAAGGAAATGGTTGGAACAGATAGGCGGCAGAAATTAAAAGAAACTGATGAAAAAGTATGCGGATTATACTGCCCACTGAACTGGTTACTAAAGTGTCCACTACACAAAGGGACTTCCAGGATTGACAGTAAAAGTAAATTAAAAGGGAATTCCTTACCTGGAAAAGTTTTACCCCGAACTTCCTTAACAGGTAAATCATCATCTGATCAAATTAGGATTTAAAACCAAACCAATATAAAATTATCTGGATTTAATAGGTAACAAAGTTTCGGAAGCGAGCCAAATCCAAACCAGACAAAACAAAAAGTGTTATATTAGAACCCCTTTGACAAGTCGAGGAGACCTAAGAAATAAGGTTCGTAAACGAGAAGTTCTCTAATTTATAATAATTATTAAGTATTTCTTTGTAACCTCCAGGGATTTTCTACATCTGAGGGAGAAGGCCTGTTGTCTGCCACAAGCTCGAATTGCTGCGCCAGATCAACAATGATATTATATCCTAGAAAGGTAGCAAAAAAGAATTTAACACCTTTAGAAGTAAATAAAAGAAAGCAAACACCAAAGCCAGAAATAGAACAGAATCAAAAAGCACTTATAAAGTCCAAGCCAAAACGCAAAAATATTAAAGCTAAGAAGATGTCAGGAAGGTCAACAGCAGGAGATGACGACGATGATTGTATATGGTAAGTTATATTAATCTGTCTTTCCTTTAAAACCATTTATTAAATCCAACAGGTACGAGTGCAATTTACCCTTTCGTGTAAATATTCCATTTCCCATCAGTATGAAACATAATTTCCAGCCATTTGCTGGCAATATCAGTCCACAGTTATATAAATCCCTTGTTCCGGCAGGAAAGTTACACCAGAATAGATCAATTCAAATGCCTAGGCCGTCTGAATTCTTAATGCAACGTGCTCTGCCAGCTCCAAATCCAGAAGATAGTTCGTCTATCTCTAAGGCGATAGCCTTTACAAAGAAAAAAGGACTTAAACGAGGTAGAAAACTATGTACCTTCGAGACATCTACTCAAACGATTGAAGAAGAATCGGATCCTGTCTTATGCTGTTTGGAACAAATCAGGATTCAACTGGCTGCCAAATTTTCTAATGGAGAAGAGAAGAAGACGTGTCGTTACTTTGCCGAGAAGTCCACAAATGTGAGAAGTATTCAAAGGCTGGAAAATGAAGCGGATGAGGAAATGATAAAGACTTGCCGCTCAAAAGAATCTCTTAAACTTCAAACCGAGATAGATGATAAAAGCGAAAAATCAGATATAAAATTGGAGCCTAAGTTAGATGATAAAACGGAAAAATTAGATTTGAAATTAGAGCCTAAGATTCCGATCGTTTCTTCACCAAAAAGTTCCCAGAAAAGTGTATCAATAAACACATTGCCGCCGCCTCCTCCTGAGCTCATAAAACTGAAAAGGAAGAAAAAGAAATCATCTAAAATCCTTTCAGAATCTAACCCTGAGTCCTCTAAATTTAGTTTGGTTGGAAAAATCTCAAATTCAGACAAATCAATGCTATCTGAGGACTTAAGGAAAGCCAAAGATGCCGACAAAAAAGATAATTTATTTAGTGATCCCAAACCAGTTTCAGTTTTGCCCGGGTCCATATATCGATCTCATTTTAGGTACGGATGTCATATGCCAAGATGGCAATATTATGGGCCACCCCAATGTTGCCAATATTGTAGCCAATATATCCAGATGCAAAACCAGATGTTCAATAAAACTAAACCTAAAGAGGCTGCCGATGGTATTAAATCAAGATCTACAGATTCTGTCCAAGGAAAAAAATTGAAACCAGAAATTATCAGCCAAAAAAAAACCGAGTCTTCTCATCAAAGACAAGAAAATATTGGCAGTGACGAAACCTTGTCAGCATCTAGCAAAATATTTCGTAAGAGTTCTGAAAATATAAGCTCAAGTATTAGGCATAGCTCAAAATCATTTAAATCATCTGAAGGAAGCGAGATTATTAATTCTAAAACAAAGAAATCATATAAAGGTCAAATTAGGAAGAAACTAAACCAAAAACAAAGTCATCGTATAACGTCTGGGGGCTCAACTAATTTTACAAAAAAATTTAATAATGATCAAAGAGATTATATTCCCTGTCGCCAGAATACTGAGGAGGCAGTAGACATGAGCCAACATTCAAATAGGCTCCATAATGAGCAGGGCAGTTCGTCCGAATCATTTAGGACAGACCAGGCGATCACTGATATTGGTGAATGTTCAAGTAAGACTTCAGAAGAAACAAAATCCTTTGAAAACTATATGAGCAATTCGTGTGGCCAGAAAAGTGAGAATTGTGAGGATCAATTAAACCACATGCCTCCGAGTTCTGATGCAGATCAAGTTAAATATTATAATAATCAGCGCTCGCATTCAGCACCTAATGGCTGGATGCGTCGATGCACTCAAAACAAAAACATACCCAGATCTGGAAATGCACACCCGTGTCAGCCTCAAAAAGAACCGGCTCATTTTTCCGGGAAGCAAAATACTGAAAGTCAAAAATGTCCTGAACAAGTACTTGTTCTACAGGACGAAACTTGCGAAAGCGAATCGGAGGATTATGAACGACTTGGGTACAATAATTACACAACTCACAATCGAATGGAAAAAGAAGACCAAGACTGTCGCAAATTTGCAACTCCGAATTATAGTATAAATGTCGATTTTTTAAAGCAATGCAGGTTGCAAGAGGGATTCTTAAATTTTAATCAAAGACAGAAAATCCAGCAGGATCAAACAGGGTAATTTATTGTTTTTTTTTTTTAATAAACTAGTTATGATAACTATTGTAAATTGTTTCACCCTAGACAAAATCGACCATCACTTGTAATGCCTTTAAGCCAGAATAAAAAGGATAAATGGTAAGAGAAAAATACGGCTTTAGGATTAAACTATTTTTTGGATAATTCAAATTTTCAGGAGAGAGCTAAAGGCAAAGTTAACTATGTTAGTGCCCCATCAATTACAAATGGTGCCCAAAACCTGTGAGGTTTCTTTACAAAATGCGTTGCCATGCAGAGATGTCCATGGCCAACTCGAAATACCTCATCCAATAAAACTGGAGCATGATGCACTTCCTCTATCCTGTTCCCAATTGTTAATTACTAACCGTCGAGATTCAAATTCATCTCAGCAAAAGGTACGTTTTTTGTATTATTTTGCTACTACTTGTATTTCAAGCAGTTTTTTATTACAATTTTAATTAGATCTCAAAGCTTTATAAGACTGCAATAATACGCAAGGTAATTTTGAAGAATCCAAAACCCAATATGTTTAAAAGCCAAGGTAATGGTTGTATCGCAGTTTTCCGAAGATCTTCCAGATCGATCACGCCAACGAGACTGAGTGATCTAAAACAGAGTTTATTACCATGCAAAGGGACCAAAAAAATAAATTCGAAGACCTCCTTTGATTCTGGCCAGCAGTCATCTGTCTCAAAATTGTGTGTTGGGGAAAGAAAAGAGAGTCCTCGGTTTTTAAAGCAATGCAATGATTTAGGATCTAATACATCGATAGAAAGTAGGGATAGTTTTAAGTTCAAAGGAAGTCCATCTTACACTGTGCTTCAAGTAATTCAAAAGGATTCAAAGGCTTTTGGAGTCCAACTTCAAGAAAAACAAGATAAATACAATGGAAATAGGAGAACAAATTCCGAGAATGATGAGACTCATACTTTGTATGGCCAATCCGGTTTTAGATCTGATCGAAGCAACCAAGATAGTTATCAAGACTTGAGAAGGACACGAAATTTAGCTATTGGTAAGGCAGAAGGTTATACTCCGAACCAACCAAATGATGCCAGCTTAACCTGGACTGAGCCAGCTGGATATTCTAAATTAGAAGTTCCCCTGGGTGATTCTAGTCAAACCAAATCCATGGCGCGCTCAAATGCTACCTTAAGATCTACTGACGTGGAAACACTGGAAACGGTTACCCTCATGCAACCTCGAAAACTCAGCAGTACTGAAAGTGCGAGGATCGAAATCCCCGATACGGGCATCGAGAAGACCTTTCTTATGGCGACCAGAACTCCTTGTGACAGGGAAAATCTGCTTCAAACCTGCGGAAGACCTCCCTGTACCCATTGTCCCCAGCGATATACCGGACTTCCCCCTAACCTACCTCAAGGATTTATGATATCACAGCCCCCTGACCAACCACAAACATCTAGAAGCGCCCCACAAAATAGAACACCGTTTAGTGAAAATTACTTAATAGATCCGCGTGATCAGTGGAGGACTACAAAATCACCTGCTTCTGCACCAGTTATGCAAGCTCAATTTCAGCAGCCTCCTATGCCAACATTTAGTCAAAATCTCCAGTTTCAGGATCCTGTATATCCCCCGAGTCCTTTCTACTACCCTCAAGCTTTACAAGAGAATATACAAACGCTTCCGGAGGGATTCTATGATCAGACCGTTAACAAGTACAACATAACTCGCATGGATTCCAACTTTCAGCCGCCATCTCTTAGATCCGAATTTCTTTACGCATTGCAATCGCCACAGCAATATTTTTTAAGACCACACAGCAATCAATTCCCAAAGCAGCTGGTAATGGGATCCGTTCCAGACCAAAATCATCCTTTTATTCCGCCTCAGAATCAATTGTTCCAACCTCAACTGCAAAGTCAGAATATGATGTTCCGCCCTCAGCAAAATGTCAAATTGGATGAATACCTTCAATCAGAATACCATATTTAATTTTTGAATTGAAATAAATAAATACTTTTCAAAATTTAAAGAATTTGTTTTATTTTTAATAACAAGCTTTTAAAATATTTGGCGCCCAAAATAGAGATGTGAAAATGCTGAAAATATCGATATCTTAAAAGCCCATTCATGGCGATACTATCGTAACTTAATTGCCCAGCTCTATAAATGTTTATCGATAAACGAAAACAAAATTTGTTTATATGACTAATTTTAACTTATACTTAAACATATGTGAATATACACGCACACGAAGTTCCGAATGGATATGATGTGCTCAATACGAAAACAATGGGCAACATTGTTGATAAGATAAGATAACTCCCGTTCTCAATGTCTTCGCTGCTCTAATGCACAAATATCGCGGTGCGAATGATTCGAATTTGTTCAGTAAACCACGCAAACAATTGTCAGTAAACAATGGCAACTCTCGCCGAGAAGGAATTCTACCATTTGGTACGTAAACCTGAGGACCTGAAATTTAACCGCCCTGAAAATCTGTGTACACTTTGAAATGCGGGTGTTGTCACATCATGTGCATAGTGTAAATAGGCAAATCTTCACATTTGCAAATGTTTATACACATACACATACAGACATCCGCGCCATCAAATTTGCATTAAAATTAAACTAAAAGCCAGAAGTCAGCCTTGAACCAGATTATGTAGAGGAGTCCCATATATCACTCAGTTTCGCACTATTGGCAACATCAAAGAAACTGCACATGCTAATTCCAAGTTTCTCCTTTGCTCGCAGTGACCCAGAAAACTAGAAAATGCAGTGAATGCTATGTGAACTAGTTTAACTTTTGTTAATAATTGAATCTGCAGACAAAGACCACTCAAATTTAGTGATTACCGATTTGAGTTTGGTATAATTATTCCCTAACACGCGATATCATTAGCTTTTTATTAATATCAGCAAGATAAGATGTGGAATCGGAACGTTTTGTTAATCTGTAGAATGAATATCTTAAGATTACAGATTGTTGTTGTCATATTCCCCATGGATCAGTAAGTTTATGAATATTTTAAATTTCGGAATTCCCAAAAAAAGGGACCAAAAAGTCGAACTGAAGTAGTGAATCACTTTTTTTTTGCCGAAATTCCAATAAAAATAGTTATGTTATCTGCCCGCCAAACCGTCCATATTTTCTGAGTCAGTCATTTCCTCATATTTCATTAAATGAAGAAGAGAAGTCTTACACGACTTAATGAGCTTTCTTATCACCAATTTAAGTTGTTCTCTTTCAAGACAATTTAATGTTTAATAACTATATCTTAACTTTTCGTTTTAGAACGTCAGCGTATCTAAAGCTTTAAATGGCCTGGAAGCGCCGCTCAAAACCAAACATGCCCGCTCCATTATTATTATGATCCACAAGGCGAAGGAGGCCAAAACCTTCTGGATGATCATCTCCCGCCAGCCTTTGATGCAGAACAGATTCACCGCCTGGAAGTTTTCACATCTCCTGCACAAAGTTCTGCGAGAGGCCCATGAAAGTTCTATAAGGCACTCGCAGAGTCACAAGAAAATGATTCTGGAGGTGGGCAAAATGTGGGGACTCCTGCAGGACGACATCGGATGCTGTATACAGGCGTACAGTAAACTACTGACCACCAAATTAAACTTCCACGACAAAAACAGAATGTTCCCCGGCTCCCTAAACATTTCGTTCACCGAACTCTTCATTGCTGTTGACAGGGATCTAAACTACTGGTAAGCATGACTTTTGAAATATACACATTTCATGAGAGTAAGAACATAGAACTATAATTCCAGCTTCCAGCTGTGCGTGGAAATCTTTGACTACTTGGAGGATATAATTGCCCTGCAATTGACAATCTTTTCTTCAATGGAAAAATATAGAATGTCATCGATGACGCCACAAGGTCAATGTAGGCTAGCGCCAATAGTTTGCCTAATTCAGGACTCAAATGCTCTGTACGATTTAAGCGTTCGACTTATGTTCAAACTACACGATGGCGTGCCGTACGATGTTGTTTCCGGTCACAGAGATCGGTTTCATGGTTTGTTTCTTAAGTTGAAGAGTTTTTATAACAATGTGCGACCGCTTCAGTATTTCAAGGATTTAATCACAGTCCCGGAATTGCCGGACTCAAGTCCTAACTTTAAGTCGCAGAACGACTTCACGAGCTATGTCCCACCAGTAGTCCATGTGCCGCAGGAGCCCGATCCGGTAGTTGAGGACCTTGTGGACACTAACAATCACGAATCAGAAGCCTTCAGTCAGGCCCAACAGCAGTTGAGCATGCTAGAGGGTATAATTAGTGAAAAGGAAGCGGGCATTGAGCAACTATCATACAAGCTGGTTGCCTTACAAAAAAATTTCGATGAACTGCAACAAAGCTATAGACACGATGTTCAGGAACTTCAACAAAACAATACTCTCTTGTCAAACGATCTGGTATTGGCGAGGGAAATGTGCGCCACCTTCCGAATGCAAAACGACGATCTTGAGATGCAACTCAACCAAAACCCGGTCCTTTTGCGTAAGTTATATGCCACATAATATAAATACCCAAATTAAAACACACTCTTTTTCAGAAAAAGCCATGGAGGAAGAAGAAAAGCATAAGTTATCCTCGGAAAAATTCAATAAACTTAAAACACTTTACACAAAAATTCGGGATGAGCACATTCAATTGTTGAGAGAGGTAAGAAATAAGGTTTATCTATTCAATTTTCAGTCTTTAATAGCCTTTATTTACAGCAAAGTGATTGCAACAAGTCCTTAAATAAAGAGAAACAAGTTAACTCACAGCTATTGCTGGAAACAAAAGAACTTACCAACGAGATTTCCAAAATCAAATGCAACGTTGAGGAAAAAGAGAAAGTGAACTTATCTCTGCAAAAACAAGTAGAAGAACACAAGGAGAAATTAATTCAGCTCGAAGCGATCAAAAAAGAAATAAAAGAGAAATTTGATGACGTTGTTAAACAAAAGGAGATCCAAGAACTAGATATTAATTCCACCTCGGAAAGCTTGAGGTTAAATGCCTTAAAAATCGATGACCTTAATGTAACTCTCGATGAAACTAAGGAAAAACTGTCCAAAGCCGAGAGCAAAATAAACGAAAAAAGCATAGAAATCGAATCTATGCTAAAAGCATTTGAAGAGGAAAAAGCTTTGCTTTTAACTAAGATTGAGCAACAAACTATAGAAAATAAAAGCAATACTGATGCTCATAATGCCCAACTGCAGCAAACAATCACTAACTTGGAGCAGAAAGACAAGGACTTTATTGACACTAAGAACAAGCTGTCCTCCGCTGAAAGTCAAATTAGTTTAAAGACCGTAGAAATTGAAAACAATTTGAAAGCTTTCGAAGCGGAAAAGGCATTGCTTTTGACTAAAATCGAGCAGTTGAATGTGGAACACAAAAACAATAGCGATGCCCAAAATGCTCAATTGCAGCAAACCATTAATAATTTGGAGCAAAAAGAGTCTGCCTTACAGGTAAATACACAAAATAATATACATTCATTAAAAATTAAACGAATATCTTTTCTTTCAGCAATCGCAGGAAATTGTAAATCAACTAAGACAGGAAAATATTTCAGTATGTCAACGTAACGAGGATTTGCAAAGCAAACTCACGATTACTGAGGACAAATTAGCCCAAGCAACCCATCAAATTGATTCAGTTTCGAGTTCCTACCAAACTTGTAGTACCGATTTAAGCGAACTTAGAAAATTAGTTGTCAGAACTGTTAAAGAAATCTGCAACTCAAAATTAAGCGGCTCAGAACAACAGTCTTTGGACGCGGTTCCAAACATAATAAGTGAAATGGAGGCCCTTCTAATTAAATTTAACAACTCATCAGCTATAAACTTTGTTGCTTCGACGGAAGGAATGCAAAATGTTATGTATTTGGGTTATGTATTTATAAAGTTATACGATCAATGCGATGTTATTTACAAAACAACCACAGCAATCGAGACGGGTCAAGGTAAGTTCATAAAAACAATAATAATATTACTTCTAATAAAATAACATTTTTATATAACTTCTAGAGATATTCACAAAAACATCTTCAGTATGCACAGATGTCTGCCAATTGTTTCAATATCTATTAAATAGTGAAACGAAAGACCAGAACAGGCAAACAATTATTTCCAATATACAATCGAAGCTGACAGATATAAGGAAACTAATTGAGAAAATTAAGGCCACCTTTGAGCAAAAAATAGACTTGGACAAGCTCCTTGAAATAGAGCTGCGCGAGATGGATGCCGCCATTGATGACGCAGCGTCCAAAATCACAGATTTACTTGCAAAGGCTCGGGAAAAGGACAACCAAACCAATCTGGAGGTGAACGGAAAAATTGTGGACGCTTGTACCACTTTAATGGAATGTGTCAAAGCTTTAATACAAAAATCACGTCTTCTACAACACGAAATTGTGGCGTCCCAAAAAGGTAGCTTAACATTAAGAAAACAAAAAAGGTCACTAATTAATTTTGTAATTATTTTTTCAGGAAATGCAACTGCCAACGACTTTTATAGGAGAAATAGTCAGTGGTCGGATGGCTTGATATCCGCCTCGAAAAGTGTGGCAAAGGCAGCTAATTATCTGGTGGAAGCAGCAAACAAAGCCATTGAAAGTGAATCTGGCAAGAACTTTGAGCTCATAGTGGCAGCCCAGGAAATCGCTGCCTGCACAACCCAAATGGTTATAGCGAGCAAAGTCAAGGCTGAACGGAACAGTCAAAAGCTATCGGACTTAACCAAGGCCTCGCGAAGCGTAACTCAGGCAACTGGAACTCTGGTTGCCACCGTCAAGGATTGCAACTCCCAACTGGAGCAGCAGAGTGAAATAGAACTTTCGAAACTAACGCCATCGCAAATCAAGACGATGGAAATGGAAATCCACGTAAAAGTACTCGAAACCGAACAAGCTCTTCAAATGCAACGACTAAAACTCTCATCGTTTCGGAAAGAGCATTATAAAAATGCCGATTATTA